GTATTATAATAAAATTTTTGTATTGGGAATTTTGAGTATTGCACAATTTTTTATAGTTTCGTCAAAGATTTTTACAACCTGTATATATAAACTCCGGTCTAAATTTCGGTCTAGACTCCAGTTTCAAATCAGTCTACAAACTGATCCAGTTCGATTTTACCCTCAAACCGATAAAAATTGGACTGAAACTGAACTGGTCGAACCGTTAACATCCCTACAATACACCACAGTAATCCAAAGCATCTATCACTAGCAAATAAAAGAGTTAACCTATAACAGACAAGTTGTTTGATGTTTAAGAAAGGTACGTAGCCGGCTTCACAAGTCCACCTTTCAGTTGGCTTATTAAAAAAATTTCCATGATTTACAAATGCAAGAGTCAAGTTTGAGCAGTAATGTGCACTTGGAAGATTGGAAGCACCCTTGAAAGCACTTTGGAAGGGTTGAAAGCACAATTCTCTAAAAAATTCATTTGGATTGGAAGCTTCCAATCAAATTTTATAATATTGGAAGCATAAAATGCACATCACTGAGCTTGAGTTCGCGTAAAAATTCGCGTAATCTATATAAGAATTTTCCACCCACGTGATTTAATGGCGCAGTTTGTAGCACATTTATTAGCCACCCCGGTATTTACAAATCCACTAAGGCGATATTCAAAAAGGAACCGGAGGGTATGTTGCATGAGTAGTCGGTATTTTTTTTTGTAGATTTTTCAAGTTTTAGTTCTGCATCAATGGTTTTATCTATTTTTTCTTCATTTTTCGTTCCATTTTCTTACATTTTTTGGTCTCTTTTTTTGGTTGGTTTTTACCCTCAATTTATTTTGCAATTTTATTTTTGGTTTCTTTTACAACCTCGTGCTTCTTTGTGGTGTATTTAATTCTTTGGTCTTGAGGCTTCTTTACTATAATCTCATTGTATAATTTCGCGTCTATTATTCTTGATCTCGACGTTTCTTTTATTATAATTTCATTAATTTTTTACTGTAATTTTGGTACATAATTTTTTTTTTGCTTTTAAATTTAAGTATAATTTTTCATAATAAAGAGAGAGAAATTTTTTAATTTAAAGTAAAATTGATTACGTAATTTGGTCATTTGTCTCATGAAATTTATTTGCTACCATTACAATTTCGTTATTTTTCCCTCAAAAAGTTCAATATATATATAAAGTACTTTTAACGGTTGGACTATCACAAAAGAGCACACTCTTTGACGGTCTAAGTAACGAGGATCATTTAACAATTTATGATAAATCTTCAGGTCCGATTTAGCCGAAAGATGTAGAGAGATATGGTGGTGCTTTTATCAGCCGTTTACAGCATAACAATTGTAGGGGAAATAAAAAGTCAATGGTGTTTCGTTTTCCCGATGTAGATAACAATAAGCGTTGCTTTTTCATGCAAAATTCACATCACGTGATATTTTTGGAATTTGAATAATACGTAGTGTGAAGTGAAAATCGGTCGCGCTTGATCTTATTTGTCTTTTTTTATAATGGCTTTTAGATGGTGCACTTACTTCAACAAAGTAAATTCAGAAAACTACCAATTCCTGTCTTATTATGAGTATCGAGCAAAACAACGCGACTTTTCTTTTATATTTGAGATAGAAGCCCGGTTATTAAAAATGGATCTTGAAAAATTGGTTATTTATGGCTCAAGAGATATGAAGAAATCCGCTACTCGTATGAAAAAATGTTTTAAGGTTAGGTTTTTATATTTTCAGTCGAGTTTTCTGCAAGGTTGGAGGCAAAGGATGCGTTGCACGACTTTGAGGAGGTGAACTACGTCTTACCTCCTGACACGAACCCACATAACTAAGGGCGACACCTACGCCATGTCGTCTTACGGACTACGTCTCTGTTGTGTGGAGGTCGTGGCGATTAACACAACTAAGGGCGACACCTACGCCATGTCGTCTTACGGACTACGTCTCTGTTGTGTTGGCCTCAACTTTGCTTATTTTTTTTTTTTTTAATTCCTCCATATTAATTTCTTTTTCTTATGATACTATAAGAATCATCGGAAAAATTTTAAAGATGTAGGTGCCTTTTGGGAAAGGATTGAAATCCGTAAAGAAATGAGTGAAACTTTACGATCTACAGAGGTTAGGAAAATGTTGAAAATTCAAACTTGGATCCATAACTGACTGCATTTCTTAACCGCAGATAAACGTTGTTCGCTCCGTAATGTGCAACTCCATTGATACTTGTGAAAGCTTAGTAACGAGTGAACGCGCTTCTTTTGAAAATATAAACAATATATACCATAAAAATCATTCAAAAGGCAACGAAGAAGGACAAGACGTGAGAAGGTCGGAGGAAGATGTTAATAAGGTAAATGCTCCACTAACGATTAAAATATCTATTGTATCGGCAACATTTTTTTATTTAATTATCAACGACCTTAAAATATTTTTTCGTTATCTAACCTTCTACTTGTTTAATCCTAAAACTATAGCAGATGTCATCTCGCAAGCGAGGTGTTAATTTTGAAGAAATACCAATAACTCAAACAAAAAAAGTGAAATTGAATGTCGAGGAATGGACTTGTGAAGATGTTATAGAATTCATAAAGTCTAAGAAAAATGTGACTCATTTTAGTGATGATCAAATTACAAGAATAGAGAATAAAATAAAAGAACAAGAGGTGGATGGACCAGCTTTTATTAGTCTAGACCAAGAAACACTTTCTCGTCGTCATGGCCTGTTTGAATTCACTTATGGTCTCTCGGTAGGCATTATGAGATTAATTAGGGATTTAGTTAAGGATATCGATGTGAATTCGAGTGAATAAATGTAGTTTTCTTTTGTTGCGCTCTGATAATAATAAATACAAGGAAGAATGATTTCGCTAAGGCATCATGTATTAGGCGGGTAAGTATTTTTAAGTAATCTATGTGAGCATAGTTTTACTTGAATATAATACAGGTTGCATTTAAGCTTAGTGTGTTTTTTATCATATTTGTAATATAAAATTATTGATAATTATACTGTATATAAAGATTTTAAGAGTAGAATGGTAAAGAAGGTTTGTAAAAATTGAGCTTTTAAAGCCGATTGCTAAAACCTTTTTAAATAATATCAAATGATAATAAGATGTATATAAAATACATATCTTTACAGCTTTGGTTTAAATATTAATAAACTTAAAAATTATATAAGTACATATAAATAATAGTATATAAAATTTTGTTTTTAAACAAAAATAAAATTATTATTAATATATAAATTAATTTTTGTACTTTCTCATTTGTAATTTGTAATTTTGTAAAATTTTACTTTACTCTTAATAAAGATTGTGCAAAGCTATCATATGTAAAAAAAAAATTATTAATATATAAATTAAAAAACTCTTTTTACTGATCTTCTTGACCAACAAAATAAAATAAGAATTACATTAAAAATTTTTTTAAGAGAAAAAGAAAAATAATAATCATAAAAATAAAACTAGAAATTATATAGTCTGTTCAGCTTTTTAATAATAATAAATAATAACCTCTTATTAAAAAACAACAACTTAAATAATTTCTGCTTAATACTCCCTTAATTTTAGTTAAAGATATTACTAAAACTTCTTTAAATGATATAAATATTGAAGTAATTGCTACCTTTTTGATAAAGAAAAAACTTCTAAAACAATTGCTTTTTATATTTAATGTTGCTAAAATGGATTGAATGATAAACAAACCAAAGATATCTACTTTGAGTATGAAAAAATACTTTTTTTTCACTTACTATATTGTTAATATATTTTTTCCTAAAAAACAAACTGTGAGAAATCAACAAAGTAGTGATATTTGCATTACATTTTACCTCTTTTATTAATATATCAGTTCATATTCACTCACCGATTTAATAAAAAGAATAATTTGAGTTGACTTTATAGCAGGTAGTAATATCAACAAGGTAATTATATTAAAATTACTAAATTTAAATCATAACATATTTTTGCCTCTTAACAAACACTAATTGCAAAATATATTGATCAGAATCACTAAAATTTTAATCTTTACAATTGAATCAAATATTAGATCCTTTTTTTCCTTTTTTAACAAGATCATTTGATATTTTATACTGATTAAAAACCTATAATAATAAACTACTATCACTTTTGTTAAAGATATAAATATAATAACATTAAATAAACTTAATAATTTTTTTGTTTTAAAAGATTTGTATATATTTTTACAATATGTCAAAAAAAAATGTTATTAATTTAAAAATTTTTTTTATAATTTTCTTTCTTTTTACTACAAAATATTCATATATTTATTATTTAATTTTAAGTAATAAGTGTTAAATACCAATTAGAAAGTATTATTTATTAATAAATTATAAACATATATTATTATTAAATATAAATAAATATAATATATTATAAAAAATTATATGCTTATAATAAAAATAATTTATACTTAATCATATAATTTTTTTATTAAAATTTTTTTTATTTAAATATTACTATACAGTCAACTTTTATTATAACAAACTCTATGTTCCAGATTTTAACTTTGCTATAAGACTATTGTGAAGATTTTAAATTTAATTAGTCAATTTATTATAATAAGAGTATTTTATTGTATTTGTTCAAAAAATTTGTTATATTAAGAATTTGCTATATCAAAAGTTGACTGTATTACATTTTTATTATTTTAAATATAAAATTACTAAATAATATAACTTTTTTTTATAATATATAAAAAAGGATTCTTAGAAAAAGAAAAAGATAAGTATAATTTAAATTTTATAAAAATTTAATTTAAATAACTATTATACTTTATTTTAAAGAGCCTTTATTAATTAAAATGATCAACGTTAACTTTACTTTTAAGATAAATATATAATTTTTAAATAAAATTTTATTTTAAAGTTTATAAATTTTATAAATTTTTAATATCTAATAATAAACTAAATCTTAATAAAATTAAATATTTTATAATAAAAATATATTAAAAAAAAACTACTAATTAGTAATAAAATATTTAACTAATTATTATTTAACAGTTTTAGAATTTAATTTAAAATTATTTTATTTATTAATATATCTTTAAAAATTTTTTATATATTATTATTTAATATATTAATTATTTATATTCTTATTAATTATCTTTTATTTAATTTTTTATATTTAAATTATTTAAATATTTTTAATATTTTTTAATAATTAAAAATTGCAAATAATTGTAATTTTAGTATTAATTTTTATTAAAAATAAAAAATTTATAAAGTATTTAATTTAAAATTTTTTAATTTTTATATATCGATAAGGGTTATACAATATAAGATTTGCATATATTTTACATTATTTTTTTTATTTAACCAATAATATTTCATAAAAAATAATATATAATATTCAGATACATAAAATTTATATCCTTAGAAGAAGTCACTTAACATAAAAATGAATGCAATTTCTTTAGTACTGAAAATGACAAATTTCATAATTTTCTTACTACTTAAAGTATTGTCAACTATCAAAATATTATATTTTAATATTAAATTTGACCCTGTAGAAAATATTTACAGAATATTTTTTTCGCTTTAACACATAAAAAAATATTGAACAATATTTAGAACTATTAATAAAGCATAACACCTATTCTTTCAGACTAAGAAGGTATATTAGAAAGAGAAGAGACATTAGAAATATCATGTAAGAAAAGATAAATTAAAAAAGCATCAAAAGAATTAATTAAGAAATATTAATAGAAATATTAAAAAAATGATAAGAAATATTTATAAAATAGTGATAGAAATAGTAAAAAAAAATAGCAAAAAAAATAGTTATTATAATATTCAAAGAAATAATTATAGAAGAACTTCTTAAGATCTCAATAATATAATTAGTGGCAATATAGAAACTTTTTGAATATATTCACCTAAATAAGAAATATTATATAAGACTAGAACTTGAAAATTAATATATAATAAAATGTAGTATGTAATTACTAGTAAAAATCTGAAAAATTCTTTTTTTTGCAAATTTACAAGTAATATAAAAATAAGCTGGTAAAAGAACTTTTTTTGAATTTTAATCCTATACTAGAAATAAACAAGACAGTATAAATAAAACTCAAATTATAACTCTTATGATAAATATTCTCAATATAATACCTAAAATTCTTATTACAGATATTCAAGTTCTAAAAGTAGATCCATATTTTTTGTGTGAAAAAGAGTTACTTTAAATCTGTCTGACTTAATCAAAAAATTTACCATAATTTACTGTAATCATATCTATCATCAGAAGTGTATTGAAAAGCATCTGTTAGAAAAAAAAGTGAGCTATTCAAATAAGAAATGTAAATACAAAGATATTGAAACTACTCTCTTTCTAGAGTTAAAAAAATAGGATAAGAGAGTAGAATTACAAGAATCTACAATAGGGAATAGAAAGTTCAAGTCTAAGACTTTAGAATTTAATCTTTGATTTTAGTCTTGAAAAGACCTAGTCCTAATTTTTAAGACTTAATGTAGATAGTTCTAATTTGATCATTATATATTATTTTAATAAATAATATAAATTAAAGTTTAATTTTGTAGATCATAACATATTGCAATTTAATTATTATCATATGATATGTAGATCAATTAGATTCTAGTTAATATTATGCATTGTGTTTTCTTATCATTAAAATTTTGTTTTGCATTTTAAATTTTTTAGCAAAAATGTCTTATTTGAATGAAGATTTTGAAGATTTTGAAAATTTTGATAATATTGATGAATTTGAATTATTAGCTCCTAGAAAGTTGAAGAAAATAATGATTATAATGATAATAATGAGGATGAAAGCTCATCTCAATCTCTTCAAATTTCACCAACATGAAAATATTTTAATGAACAAACAATTTAATATCTAAGAAGTCCAATTTGTTACAAATGTCAAATTGTTTTTGAAAAAAAAACTGGTATTTTACCTTTAAAATAACACTTAGAATCTGTACATAAAATAAAGATAGAGAAAGTTAAAAAAAATATAGAAAAGAATTAAAGTATTTTGAATTTCAGGCAAACTGATTATTGACCTGAAAAAGAAAAAAAAAGAGATATTGCAATAGTAAAATAGGTAATTGAAGATGCAAAACCTTTTCGTTTGGTTGAAAATTTGTAATTTAAAATTATGATCAATAAATTTGATTTAAGATATTAAATTCAAAATGAAAAAATACTAAAAATTTTAGTAATTAATTATTTTAAAGAAAAATGAAAAATATTTAAGAAGATTTAAATGTTATTTCAGACAAAATATTTTTAACAGCAGACATGTAGACTTCTATATATAATAATAATGCATTTTTTAATTTATTAATTCATTATATCAACAATAATTAGAACCTAAAAAATTTTTTATTAAATATTATTTCATTTATTACTCGACATATTAGAATCAATATAGCAAATGAAATAAAATCAGTTTTAACAGAATTTAATCTACTTGAAAAAACTTTAGTTTTAATTACTAATAATGAAGCAGCTATGATAGTTTGTGAAAGAATAATTGTAAAGAACTTATACAAGAATTTAATGATCAAACTATAAATGTTCTGCACATATTTTAAATTTAGCAAATACAATAGAGAATTAATATTATTGATAAAAAAGTTATTAAAGTTCGTGATATAATAAAAAAAATTAAATATTCATCTTAGAGATTGATAGATTAATAGAATTATGTTCAGTAGAAAATTTGCAGTATTATAAACCACAATTAGATGTTAAGACCTAATGAAATAATACCTATTATATGATTATAAAGTTTCAAAAAATATTGTGTCTTATTGAAATAGTAGTTG